TTTATTATTCTTGGTATGTTTTTACTTATGTTAGTATATGCATTTGCTGGTGTTATACTATTTGGTTGTGTTAAATTTGGTCCTGAACTTGGACGACATGCTAATTTTAAAACAGTACCTAATGCAATTGTTCTACTAATGAGAATTGTTACTGGTGAAGATTGGAATAAAATCATGCATGATTGTATGGTTGTACCACCACGATGTACACGTGGTGGTTCATATTGGGAAAGTGATTGTGGAAATTCAACAGCATCAATACTTTATTTTTGTTCATTTTATATTATAATAACATATATTGTATTAAATCTTCTTGTAGCTATTATTATGGAAAATTTTTCATTATTCTATTCAAATGAAGAAGATGCATTACTTAGTTATACAGATATTCGTCATTTTCAAACAGTTTGGAATATGATTGATACAGGACGTAAAGGTATTATACCAGCTCGACGTGTAAAATTTTTATTAAGATTACTTCGAGTAAATATTTAATTTAATAAGATAAATCTTTCTCTCTCTCTATATATATATAATGTATTTCATAGGGAAGATTAGAAGTAGATGCAGAAAAACTCTATAAACATATGTGTTATGAAATTGAAAAATTAAATAATGGTAATGATGTAACATTTCATGATGTACTTAAGTAAGTACAAAATTAGTTTTTTTCATTTTTATATATCATCGATTATTGTAAAACATAATCTATGAACTATAGAATGTTCTAAAAGTTCGACACAAAATAAAATTTTCACAATTTAATTTTGCAGGAATTTTTTTCTAACAATTGTTTATTTATTTATTTTTTTTTCTTTCAATAGTATGTTAGCATATCGTTCAGTTGATATTCGTAAATCATTACAATTCGAAGAATTACTTGCTCGTGAAGAACTTGAATATTTAATTGAAGAAGAAGTAGCAAAATTAACTATACGTAATTGGCTTAATAAATGTTTAAAGCGTATCAAAGCAAAAGATCAAACAAATGTTATTAAAAATTTACAACGTAGTAATGAATTAGCATTTTTTCGTGAAGCACAAGCAATAACAACAAATGAATCATTAAAACGAACAACAGATAATATAACTAATGAAGAAGAACGACGAATAAAAAGTTTTGATGAACGACAACAACCGATACAAAAAGATGTTGCCAAAAAAAAACTTGATAGAACAACTACATTACCAACACCTTCAAATGATTTCAACGTAGGATATCTATTGAATATTCTTTTTATTCAATATCGTGTTTTTCTTTTTTTTTTAGAATTCAAACTATCGAACACAAACAGGTACACGTGATACATCTACTGAATCTAAAGGAGGAGGAGGAGGACGACGACCAATTTCACAACAATTACAACAAAATATTAGTTTGACTTTAAGTAATGATGAATCTTATCCATGGCGTTCATGGCAAACAAGTAATTTTAATCATGGGCGACAAGATGTTGAATCATGGTGGGCTAATCAATTTCAAATGTCAACTTAAAGTAACAAAAAAAGAAAAACAAATGTATACCTCCGAATAGATTATATTCAAAATATTGCGGTGCTTTATATGCTCTTGGTTTGTCTTGTGTATCATATGAATTCGTATTGATGTAGTCGTTGTTTTTATTTCCAACGGGTCTTTTTTTTTCGGTTAAACACACATCTAGTCTATTTTTTTATAAAAACAAAAGAGGGATATATAGTATAAATTAGACATTGTCACGTTATAGAATATAAAATAAATTGGTAAATTTCTATCTAGGTTGTCAATGTAATAAAAATTTATATATATAATTATATAGTTTTTTTGAAAGATAAAATTTCAAGAAAAATAAAAGTACTTTTATCATCTTATAGTATAATTATAACATTCGTTTACATATGAAAGTATATAAACAAGCAATTTGTTCTCTGTAAAACAATCTATTGATTAGATATGAAATGAAAATAAATTATAATAGTTATTGGTGTTCAATGTGTTTGTATTGTTGAATACTAAAGAAAAAGAAGCCATGCTCGGGTGAGAATATAACATCTTATGAAACTTTGATAATTTGTTGTTGTCATACTTCGGATTATTCATTTTCAAGATCATTGTTCAACAAAATGTTTTTGATATAGTTTCTTGCACTTTCAATTGGAATGGAGTAACATTAGATATCACAGAGTGATATAAGTCATAAGTCTAGAGTATTATTCATCTGATATCATGACTTGTTCATTATTAGAAAAAGAAAATATAAATTACATGAACGAAAGATAATTATTTTATATTAGAGTCCCGTTATTCTTTTGAATCGATACTATCGGAAGGTAAGAATAGAACTGATAGAATCAACGGCAGAACGAGCAATTCTGTAGAATTATGACTTTTATAATCCACATATTCTTCTTTTCTATTGCCAAACAATAGTTAATTATCGTAACAGTAATATTGTTATCTAGGATTTAACTACAAAATGTCATACTAGTTCTGATGCCAATCCATGTGTTATCTTTGTTGTACTATTTTAATGGATAGTAAGACATATTCATTGAGTACAAGATATTTCTTACCTAAAAATTCACAGAAATGATAACTGGCTAACGTCATTCTCCAAAAGTCTGTTAAAGAAAAATGAAGACCAAACAAAAATTTATTCTCAGTTGTACGTTTCATCTTCATATATATATATACTATATTAAGATTCAAATATCCATCACTTACAAAAAGAATTTTGTTGCAGTGTGCTTCCGTTCTTTTGAATATTTTCGATTCTTGACAAGGATATAATCAATCAGCTTGAAATCTTTATCATTGATATAGAGCCCTAAGAGGAGGGAGAAAAATGTTGAAGAAAAAAATTCTAAAGAATCTTTTCGCCTTTTGTTTTTAGGAAAACTCTTGGTTTCTATACGATTGCACCTTGCCACATTACGAACTCCTTTCGAAATGTATTCGATTTGGTTAACATGTTTATCACAGAAACTTGGAAGTGTTTTCTACAAGTAAAATTGACTATGTTCTTTTTTGACTTTCCTAGAAAACCAAGCTTTTCCCAAAAAAATCGCGAAAATTTCCTTTAAAATTTGTTATATGTTTCCTTCTTCTAGGTACTCTATCTGTGATAAAAATTTCATGCTGATTGTATCCTTTTTGAGAATCAGAAGTGGTTAGAAAAAGGAGTACACTTCGTGAAAAGATCAGTTATTTTCTACTTTAATCTTGAGGATGGTATTTTTTTTTATTAAAAACTCACCACTAACTTATTACATGGATACAAAATATTCATGTTGTTGAAAACCATGTCTATTTCGAGCATCGAAACGTAAAATGCCACATCATCTGTTGTACGAACTTGAAGCATAGCTCGTAAAGCGGATGGATATGTAATATAAACAAATTTTATCTCAATTTTATCGGAAACAAACGTTTTTTACGAGTGTGTGAGTGAGAAACTGAGTTCAAAGCATCGCAATTTTTTAAAGATAATAGCCAACAAACGGAAAAACACTATTCATCACCGCGTTTCACGGATGCTAATTATATTATATCGCATTAAATAACTAGAGTCATAAATATCTCTGTAGCATGATATTAAGTACGTATGCGCTCTAAGTACGCAACAGAGACTGACGGGACAGTGAGAAACTATTCCATTAAGGCCCGTCGGAAGCTGTCTACAGACTATATTTCGTCTCGTCTCGTCTAGAAATTTTCAATACCATCCCATCCCACGTCCCGCCAAGAATTGTTTAGTCCCGTTCCGACTAATCCCGCGAGAATCTTTTCGCCTCAAGAACATGACGAATAGCTGCGACCATCTACTTTGCTCGGCGTGGAATCCATGTACAAATATGAATTGAAAAGAATAACTTTCAAAATTAACAATTGTGACGAAATGAGACAGAATGAACAACTATACTCATAAGTAACTATATATATACATTGCATTATCTATGTCAGACAAATTATCTTATGGTCATTGTCTCATCCCTCAGTCATCGTTCATCTCATCCCCATCGAATTGATTGTCACTATTGTTCTTTTTCTGATTAAATGTCTGTTTACACAAGAGTCGAGCGTTGTGACAATCATTATTCTTCTCCTCTTGCGACAAAGAAATCAATTGCTATTCTGATGCACTACGTGGACGGTTATTTTTGCTTTTTGTTCCATTGCCGAAAGTAATCGGAAGAAGGATTGAGTCTCGCGTATCCCGCATCCCGTGATCTTTGGTCCCCTATCCTGTCTCGTCCCGTCCTGTCTGGGACGAGACGGACCGGGATTGGTCCTGTGTCCTGTCACTCTCTGGAATCCAACACTACTACTATGATGTTTTAATAGTGCTTCAATGCAACTAAAGTCGTATTTAATACTTAATACTTTTCATGGTTTCTAATTATTTTTCGGTTGAAAACAAGTGATCACTATAGCTCACTTCTCTAAATGCAGAAGGTACTATGAATTCGTTCTTTATACGCCAGAAATACAATAAAGTACTTTTGAAAGTATAAAAATTAATATAATATATTTTATGATTTCGAAAGGCACTATTCAATACTTTTAAAAAGATCAAAAGTCGTTCGAGTTACTTTTTGAAAGATCAAAAGTCGTTCGAGTTACTTTTTGAAAGATCAAAAGTCGTTCGAGTTACTTTTTGAAAGATCAAAAGTCGTTCGAGTTACTTTTTGAAAGATCAAAAGTCCAATGAAGTACTTTAAATAGTGTAAAAATGAATATAACAACATCTGTAAATGAAAAAGTACTATTAAGTACTTTTAAAAGTGCAAAAAGTACTAGACCTCACTAGAAAAACTGAAAAATAATAAGAAACTTTAATTTATTTGACTTTATTAATATTTAATATACTTAAAAGTGGATCTTTTTCACTTTTTTTAAAATGACAACCACATCCCCATCCGAGAATGATATGAAACAATAGTCTGGCAATCGGGTTTTCTGATAACTGAAAGGTTTCTGGGATCGAATCTCAAACAAATAAAATATTTTCTCTCGCAATTCATTCAGCAGCTACTTTCTGCAAATAAAATCATTTTTCAAATCATTGAGAAAAATTTACTTCTTCTCATCCATGAAAATAACACGGTGCCTTTTTGCCAATACTATCCAAACAGAACGCACACAACTACTTCAGTATGCCGATTTCGACATTCAAGGGTCCGATGGACTGTAGTTCCAGGCATCGCTTGAAATCCGTGTTGATATAAATTGAGCATACTCTCGCAAGACGATTTGTTCAATGATTCTATTCAATATCGTAAAGCATTTATTTATTTACAACACTAATCGAGAACTGCATGCGGTCCTATCAAAATACATCATCTAAGAAGTTTACTGGTATTCTTCTTTGAATTCCACACGTTTTTCTTTCGGCCATTCGAGCGTATAGTCTAATGGAAATCGATATTCTCCATGTGCTTGCAATACACATTTCCATTCTAAATTGTTCCTATCGTTCATTGTCACCGTACAGTTACGTGCGTAATCCTTTTGTCGTAGATCAGGAGTGATCAGCTTCACTTTGATCTTTTCATCCGAAGATAGAGGCAATTGTTCGTAGACAAATACTGTGATCTCGGTTGATTTCGTATTCACAATGTGTGTCTCATGACGAATTGTCTCATGATGCACTTTCGAGATAAGACCTTGTGTGTCAACCATTCTTTTCACCGGTTTGTATTCTACCTTGACACTGATATCTGTACCCAATGGAAGGTCGAATGTATCACCAACACAAACATTATCGATCGAACTATGCGTGATAAAATTATTGTCCATAAACACAGATGCTGGTCCAGCAAGAAGTTGTTTATCGGATGTATTCACGGTTGACGCTTTGAGATACGCACGAAGTGACATTTTCGGTACAACAGTGTATGTGAATGTTGAAGTAAGTTCTAGAACACCAATCGTAACTTTGTGTGGTTTTCCCTAGAAAAAATAAAAAAAATACGTAGATATTCGAAATCACTGGATAGAATACTAACATCAGAATCGATGGTTGATCGACGAGGAATAACAAAGCTGGTACTAGACATGCTGGCTTCGGTTTTAGAGGCGAGAACATTGATTGTCGTCTCAGCATCATCATCGTCTTCATCTTCAATGGTCGGATCATAAGCAAGCGTCGATTTACCACGAAATGATCTGAATGCACCCTTTGCTCGGTTCATAGGCACACGTGCACCCATAACTCCACCTGCTGGACACATACTACTCATATAGTCCATTGATTCTGATCGAAGCGTTCGCTTAGGATAAATGATCAGTGGTCTGTAATAGTCAATTTTGAGTGTGTTCAATTTCGGTGGAGTGCCATCCAAGGACGGTCTTGCCGTCGACAACGAGAAATTCGCATCGAGCCAGTTCTCTTGGCTTTTGTTCACCTAGAGATCAGTAAAGCTCATGAAGTATTTTTAGAACTCAATGAAGATTTGACTACTTACAATAATCCCATAATATGTTAACTGTGTTCTCTGTCTATTTGCTTCGACACTGCTGACACGAACATCGTAACTGGCACTCCAAGAACAATTCCCGATCAAATACGAAACTTCGAGTGCCACATCAATTTTACCACTAGCTATATGAACTGTAATCGTCACTTCTCGACATATCTTTCGTCGATTCCCTTGGGCTACAGCGCCGTGTTCATTGATTTGAGCTTTCAAAGCATCTTGACGAGCATTCAATTTCTTGACTTCCTCTTCTTCATGAACTGTTTCATCGTCGAGTTTCGATAGTGTTTTGTGATAGAACTCGAGAAATTGTTGCATATTCTCCATATCACTTGTTGTACAAGGCCCATCTTGATTCATTAATTTGGTTGAGCGTCCATCAAGCCATTCCCGTTGTTTCGTGAGTCGTGCCAATTCACGTTTATGCATCTCTATGTCAGTTTGCACGTTTTCAAGTTGGCTCTGGAGATGATCCAGAGACGTCAATTCTGATGATGGAGCGACATCTTCATATCGCGTTTGGTATGAGACTTCAAGGATGGTGCATGATTTGCCTGTTCCACCACTAACATGCAATGATGTTTCATCCACAAATGTCGAAAAACCATCGAGCACGAGATCATACGTGCCTTCGACATCGAAATGATGTCGTAGGATTCGTGTCACTTCTGCACGATCATTGTAGACAGTGACATACTGAATAGGACATTTTTGATCAACATTGAAGCGAACAGTAGGAGTTTTTGCCACTGCCATTGATGCGATCAACGTGTTTGTTGTTGCTGTTTCAGTCATAGTAAGTTAGAAGAACGAATGCTTTGTGTTTTTTTGCGTTGTATACACATATAATAATTACTCAATGTTGTGTAATGTTTTTCTTGTTTCAAATATTCACGTAGAATAGAGAAAGAAAGAAGAAAAGAAAGAGAACGGTCTGAGCTACATGTCTTAGTCAGACTGCGTGGCATATATCATGGTTGTCTTACGCGTTGTATGTAAAAAAATAGCTACGAGGAAAAAGAAAAAAATTGAGTCATTATGGAAAAATGTCAGTGTTATTATCGATGTGTGAGTGAAGAGCACAGCCATTATACCGTTAAATGAAAAAGATCAATGAAAAGAAATATAATAATAAGAGAAAATTACGTGTTGCATTTTATATAGCGATGTCGCTTTCGTATGAAAATAATATTTTCCTGTATCGGGACCGATTTCTGTATGCTATTTTCATATATCCATCAATCTTAGTATATCAATAACATATGGTGCAAAAATAATAGGACAAATGTCAGCATCTGTGTCTCTTCGATAGAATGATGCTCGAAGAAAACTTTTTTTGTTAGAAGATAGAAAGATTTTTCTTCTTTCGAATCATATGTAATTTATTTTTATCATAAGTTCATAAATGCAATGACACAGCTGGAAAGAGAGGCATCCTTAAAAAGAATCTGCACTTTGCGTGAGATTCAGGAAAAAGGCGCAAAATGTTGTTTCCTATAATTCTTCGACAAACACACTTTGAAATGAATATTTTGTTATCAATTGATAGAAAATTTACTTTTCTTCCGAACACTGTATGGTTTATATTCGTCGCACATGTGTAAATGAAATAAGACATGAAAAATGAAAACATCTTATTAGACAACAGCTAGTTGTGATTAACTGTTATCTACAAGATATTTTAAATAAAACTAAATTTTCTCTAGAATAGAGAAAGATTTCCGCTTGATTTCTTGAGAGATGACTCTACTCTATGAGTTGAAAAAAGGTGAAAATTTTTCTGTCAAACAGTTCAGTTTTCATTGACTTACAGCGATAACAAAACTCAAAAAGTCGCTCTGTATTCAAGTTGAAAATCATCTTTTGTCATATTACATAAAAAGTTTTGTGTTAATGAAGTTTATGAAACAAACCTCTTTTACTTCGCAAATTATTTTCTGTCTATTTCTTTTTAATATCCAACCAACTTTATTTAAATGAAGTTTCTTCAAGCGAAATGCCATTGATTTTATTATCGTTCGACACAAAAATGAGAACTGTCTTGACACCTATTATCGATAGGTTTTCATTCATAAAATTTTGTCTAAACCTGAAACGAAAGACATATTCTGATAGTTCTTGAAAAGTTCTAGAATTTTACCTGAAAAAATAATTTTAAAAAATTCATAATGGAATAAGTAAAATATTGGTTGATTTTCGACAGATAGTATTAGAAGCTAGGTACTTGACCTGTTGTTATTATTTCTCTGAAACTAAAACAAATGAAAACTTGATTTTTATAGACATTTTTCTTTTCGAGACACAACGATACACTGGCTATGCTCTTCACTTGTGTTGATAACGACTTATCAGATAGAGTGTTATATGATAGAACAAAGTCTTTAGACATTTTTAACTCCCATGACAACAGAATGTGTAGTATTGATTTGACAAACAATGCTGAAAATTTCAGACATTCGAGAAGGATTTTATGAGTAATGATTCCGAGGGAATAATTGACATTGTCTACATTGACAAGTGAACGATGACCAAGAATTCGCATCTATCAATCACTTCAAGCATATCAATAATCCATCAAAATATTATGGATGAAATATCCGTGTGGTTTCTCTCTTGTTTTTATAAAAAATTCGTTGTTCAGTGTATGAATGATAGAAGATTTTGTGGAGCCCACTCTCAAAATGATGATTGCAAATTTTTATCGGAAAACGTTTTGCTCCCATTTTTTCGCTTTAGACACCCTCGCTTAAGGAATCTGGACATTATGCTGATATTGATATAACCTCTCTCTCTCAGACTTTCCTTTTTATCTTATTTCGCTGTTGTTCTTTCCTATGTTCATCTCTCTCTCTCCTATATAAGCATGTGTTGAATGTGAAGTAGCTCAATAAACATCATTAGCGAGGATTGTAGTACGCTATTCCATCCAGTTTGTCATGACAGACACGAACTGCGTAAATCTTGGAATTAGTATCAACATGAATTATTGAAAGGATTTAAGCATGTGTGCGAAAGCTAGCGCCCTGCGGTTCCAAAAAAATAGTATCGGAAACCGAATCAGAACAGAATTTTTTCAGTTTCTGTTATCTGAAACCGGAACCATGAAATAAAAGACGATGGAACTGGAACTGTTGGAACCGAAAACTCTTTTAATAGTAACCAAGGAACCATTCAAATGCATAATCATAGACACTTTTTCTATAGCTGTTTTTCGTTTTCATTCCTAGAGTCAGAGCCTTCACGGGAACTCTTTTTTTTTAAATTTATCTCTTCTCGATGTTTGGTTTTTCTCTTCGAAATTTTTCTTTTGTATCAAATCAGCACATATGATATAGAACCATTTATTCATTAAAAGAATAGAATGATGCAGATTAAAATAAATCAATCATTTCATTTGCTTGTCTTGATCAGAATCAAGTTCCTTCATTTTTTGCCTTTCTGTCGTGCTGATATGCGGTCTTTAACAGCTAATGCGAGAAAGTACAATGGTTCTGGAAACTTAATGGAGAATATGTCCATATTGTATTTTGCCACCCACAATCTCGATGCAGGTTGTCTTTTGAATCGAGCTAAAAGTTCACCTCGACCCTTTTCATAAAATTCGTTAGGAAGAATATCGGATCTGGCTTTCAATATTATACATGTCCCATTCCAATGGATGGTAAATTCTAACATTCGCCAAGTGGATGTTTCTGTAATATTTCCACTGATCCACTGATTGGATGATAAATCAAGAAGCGAAATATCAGCAGCATATCCCAGCATTGACCACCTACCAACTAATTTACCTACGACTTTTTTTGATGGATAAGCCACTATTTCATTGTTATGCCGGTAAGTAAATCGAGATTCAATACGATATAGTAGATGCTTTTCAGTTATATCATAGATTGAAAATTCACGTGATATGATTCCAGTAAAGAAATCTTTCTTGATAACATAACTGTGACCAAAATTGTGCACATAAGGAATAATATTAACCGTCAATACTAGAATCGACACAACAAAAGTATCAGCTAACATCGTGCTTACGTCGCACGCAATTGATTAGAATGTGGAGCTAGGAGATAACTAAGTTGTTTTTTTTAATACCATATTGTTATTGATGAATCATACATAGTTGATATACGCCATCGAAGTTTATGTCAATACTTATTGATAATGAGACAACATGTAAAAGAAAATACTTGTTAAAAACCTGATAGATATATCAATTTGTTTGAACTCTCTGAGGCAATCGAAATGAATCAACGAAAGATAAAAATAAGAGTTGAAATCATACGCTTATTAATTTATTGTAAAATAATGATTCGATGCACATCATCCACCCGATATCACACAAATATACAAAGGTGCAACTATTTTCTTTAAAGAAATGCTTTTTTCGGCGAAGTGTACAGACATATAATTTATCAATTTCACACTCGAAACATCTACCCATTCTCAGTAATCTGCTGGTCTTAACTAAACAGTCGTTTGGAAACGGTTTCTACAATCTGTTTTAGATATATTGGAACAGAATTAGAACAAATACACACAGAATTTGTCACAAGAGTAGTTGTTACCACAGTTATAAATTTTGAGAAAGACCTGATGCAGAGCGAAAACTGGGATATGACTGTGAGTGAAGAGAAAATTTATACCAGACTACACACTCACATCCGAGAGTATTTGATATCTACGAAACAAAGACAGAGATGAAGCAATTTGAGTTAGAGAAACTATAGATATTTGACTTTGCAACTTGTGAAACACCTTGGTTATTTTGTTGCCTTGTAGATTGAATGCCTGTCGATATACAAAAGGTTAGTATAAACCGTAAGAAAATTTGTCAATCTTGGAAAAGATTTATTTATGATTTTTTTTAGGAATTATGGACATAAAATCTATGTCTGACAAGGTAAGCTTTTATACATATATGAAAACAATGCAATTCTACTAGATTGAATACAGCCATATCTTTAATATTGGGTGAGCTTAGCAAGAATTGATTTTAAATTGATCGAATGAACCATGGATAGAATATCGTCTTTCATCACTTTCGAATCATTTGCTGTTTCTATCAGCGGTTGCAAAATGTTAACATTTTTGGTCACTGATGCATTCGCCAACCATTCAAAACCTTCCTGAAGACCCTGATTTGTTGTGGCTACTGTCGCTTGTATATGCCATTTCCTATCACCAGTTAATTTGTTCAAAGCAAGTTTATCATGTAATTCATCAATTGACATTGCATTTGGGAGATCTTGTTTATTAGCCAAGATGAGAACGGGTTTATTTCGAAGATCATCGTCATTGACCATTTTATGTAGTTCTTGTGATGCTTCACTTATTCGATCTCGATCATTTGAGTCAACCACAAAGACGATACCATGGCTCTTTTGATAATAGTGTTGCCATAGGGGTCGAATTTTATCACGACCACCCACATCCCAAGTTGTTATTGTAATATTTTTATATTCAACCTTTTCAACATTGAAACCGATCGTAGGAATTGTTGTCACGAGTTCACCTAGTTTCATGGCATAGAGAGCAGTAGTTTTACCTGAATTAGCGAAAATATAAGTATGTGAAATAAATTGTCAACGATAGAAACATGAAAATAGACTTACCAGCTGCGTCGAGACCCAACAGAAGTATACGAACTTCTTGTTTTCGAGGAAAATAGGATGCAATTTTGCTGAATGATAAACCCATTTGTGTATGTGCTCTAGATTCTTTTTCTTATCTTACTATATGCACAAACATATATATTTGAATATTTATATGTACATATGCAAGTAATGGCATGTTCTTTGCGAGCAGCGATTCATTAGTTAGTAATGCGTGATGTTTTTGCCACGTTGCACATCGATGTGGCAAAAATTGCACAACCATGATGCAATGACGTCTATTTTCTTTCATTTTGCAAAACTTGTCGACTTTTATTGCATCTTATATGATGATAATCATGATTTCGTAATATGTATCGATGTAGTATCTGTCAAATTCTTCTATTTACGTTCATCACTTAAAGATCAAGCATGCTGCCAATAATTCTCTAACGAATGGAGTCAAACATTTTCTCACATTTAAGGTGAGGATGTGAATCATCTATTTGTTCTCACCCACATCCTGATCTACATCTTCAAGCTTGAGAGTACCATTCTTTTCAGAGTTTTAAGTTTCGCAAATGGAGTCAAAATGATATTTTTCCAAAGAAAAAACAATATCTATCATGATTCATTCGGAAATATCACATAGACAAGTTTAATAGTTTTGAATTTAAGTCTTGATTCCTATAACAGTTTCAGAAGAGTCACTGATCAAATGACCTTACAAATAGAATATTAGCTTCTTTTTAATATACCAATGGTGTGCAGAAATACACTGGATGTTCTGTTCTTCGTGTAGAGGATGATTGGATTAGTTTAAAAGTTCTCACTTTTATCTTTCATAATAGTGTTGATTAGGCAAAAGCAGTATCTAGTTTATTGCATTGAAATAATATGAAAAAGTAAGAACTAAACGCATGAAAACTAATTTTGAAACACATTTTTAAATAAACATCTTTGTCATAATATAATCGGTGAAGACATTTGATGAATCAGACATGTTGTTTCTACTTCTCATTCTTCTTTTTGATAATCGATATTTCATGAACTTCACCACCAAAGGAATAAATATTTTTGAGGATTTTGAATTCTACTATGTATCATTCAGTTTTTACAATTGATCAATAAGTGATTATTCCAATGGCCAATAGAGTGTTAAAGTTGAATATTATAGATACTAGACCAATATTTTTTCTCATCATTGCATGTAAGCTGATTTGCAAATTGTATATAAAAATATGTGCTGGAGTTTATTGTAGCGATTTTACAGGTAGTATTGTAAGAATACAAAGCCAACAATTTTCTTACATTTCTGTGTTCTTATACCAAGAAATACAAAAAAAAACAAATTTGACTAGCAATTTTTTTAAAGCTCCAGAAGTTCTATCTTATTAGTATATTGAACAAATTTGACTATGAAATCTTGAAGCATAAAATCAGTGTTAATCTTTTCAACTTTTCAAAAAGCTCACTTTTTATCTAGTTTTTTTCCTCTTCTAAGAAAAATACACTGTAATTCAACGATGTATTATTTTCGATGCGCAAAGTTTTTTTTTTCTATTTGAAAGCCATTGAGACATTCTTTGTTATACAAGATACAATTTTTTTCAACAACTTCACAAAAGATGATTCATAAGATCGAGTTGAAATTATCTCATTTTGATACCAATATTAGAAAATATCAACAATTAGAGAAATTCGTTTTTTTCTTCGGGCAAATTCTCTTTTTTCAAATTTAATGATTTATCGACAAAATATAAAGTAACAAGCTCTGTGTATAAGACATAAAAAGATTTGGTTGAATTTAATATATGAACTGATAACGGAAATAAATTAATTCGAAAATAAACTTTCTGTAGGATGTATTTTTTTAAAGATTTCAATAAGAAAAATTTTATATATTTCATTTAATGGAAGAAGATACAAGTACAAAATGCATTCTGGTGCAAATATTACCATCCATAAATTCAGAATTTGAGAATTCCCTTCATCAAAGTCGCTCATTCAATCGCAGTCATGATCTTCTTCAACACTGTTCATATGCCATAGATTCTAATAAAAAATATCGTCATGTATTGTCTGCTAATAAGCACAAAATATACGTAACTAAATCCTGATATTTGTGTATCGTGCTATCACATACTGCCATGCACTATGATGTACTCTTATCATATTATTATGTATTGGGTGTGAATGTCACAGTAGTTTTTTCTTCTCCCACGTCCTTCAAAGATGAAGATTTTACGTACGACTTCTGTCAGATTTTATAAGCTTAGACAAGATCATAGGACCAATCTTTCAAGATCTTACCATCTGATTGCTTGACTAGAATCTTCATCTATGAGTTAAAAAAAAAATTCTTCGAAGTACTTATTTTCGTGTTATAATCCAGTTTTGAATATTATGTTAAAGCATTATCCTATTAATTATGAAAAGTTGGTCTGAGTCAATGTCACCTTACATTGAACTATTATAGAACATCATCAAAGATTAAATTAAACTATCTTCCTCTTTTACATGTACCTACTGTAATTTCTTATACAACTATGTATATGTCCTCTATGAATATATGTAAGGCATAGATTAAGCACAAACATATGTCGCGAAAGCGGCTGACGAAGGGAACCACTCGAAGTGATTCACTGCATCTGACTCTCATATTTTTTTCACAAGTAGAAGATCTGTAGAATAGAAAAAGCCTATGAAGATGTGGGCCCGTGTTTAGGTTTGGTCTGAAATTTTGTCAAAACCAGAACCATGTCTAGACTAGCTTGCAAGCAAAAATTCAGAACTTTTCAGTGTAACATTATTGAGATATGATTTTTCCAAAATATTCACATTGCATGAAATACCTATAGAAAAGCGCCTATATTTTAGAAAATTCATCACTCACTAATGTTATGATGTTGCAAACTTCTGAAAATTTTCTTAAGAACTAGTCTTCTAGTGGAAATCTTGATTTAAATAAAGTTTTACATTGAAATTCAAAAGTATGATTTTGTTGCAGAATCAGTGTCCTACACAAAAATTTCATTAAGATTTTCATATATCAACCAAATCACAACATAGACTCATATCCTCTTCGGCTCTTTCTACTCTACAAGTCTTCTACTTGTGGATAACATATGAAAGCAAACGTTGTGAATCACTTCAAGTGGTTTCTTCATGAGCTATATCATTAATTATACTTGTCTACACAAAAAGAAAAATTTTAGAAATTGAAAGACTTATTAAAATTATATCATTATCATCGCAACGATGGAACAGTTTATGTTTCTTTACAATAACCACTTATTCTATCTTAAATAAAAAGGCTTTTATCCTCTGAATGAATTTACCCATATTTATTATCTAAATAAAATCAAAATCATCTATTTGTGAGCATACAATACAACTTTCTTATGTTTATGTGAAGAGTCTTTAAGTAAGAAAACAAACCGTACTCAATGGTTTTTATCGACAACATATTTCACAAAACCATGTTGATGAATAAGTCTATAACTTTGGATCAATGAACAAATGGCAAAAGTTGATATGATATTAAATAGAAATTTGAATCAATGTTTAATAATAAAAATTAATGCTGAAGCATTTTTACTATCTATAAAGATGCCATCACTTGAACTTTATAAATCATTGAAAGTATGACAGAAATTTATATTAAAGTGAATTATTTAATTTTAACACAAACACTTTGAACATCTATAAAATTTATTTATGAAGCATGGAAATTTTTATACGATAAATCATCGTAAAAACATTATTTTTCTATTTCAAAAAAATAAAATAAAATAAAATGGTGTGTATAAATTCAAATATAGTCAATATCTTTTGTTATTGAATGGCGTGTCCAATGAGTAGTGTAATATTGATTGATTATGATCGGTCGATTAATTAAGTATTGATAAGTGAAATATGTAAATAGAGTAACAAGTAATAGAAATGAAAAACACATAGCTAGTATAGAAATCCAATAAGCAGCATTACCAAATTTTCGAGATAAATGTCGATCTTGTTTACCACATAATGACCATATACTTAGAATAATAGCTAATATACCTAAAAGATGGAGAAAATATTGACTATGCTCTGTAACAAGCCTCGAAATGGTCTGCCCAGCCCGAGCTTTATTTCATTTTTCAAGAAAGATCTTTCACGTAAGAAAACAGACAAGATTTGATTTTAATCGTTCTTAATTCATTTTGAAAAAAAACCAGTTTTAATCGATCAAAAAGGACTGAAATCAATATGAAATCTATCTTTAAAATGGAAAAATCAGATTTCAATCTGAACTAAATAGTGCTATTTTAATCGATTTTATTCTTATTTTTCGTCAAAATTTCTTACATCAGTTTTACATCTCGCAACTGGTAACAATCAGGAATCTTTATTATACTGACGTTTTGGAAGTTTCATTTAGTTAATAAATAAAAACAGAGCATTTGCTCGACTTAATAATATTCCTCACCTACACACAAGATCGAGTATACTATCAACTACGTTAAGTAGAATGGGTTTTAATGAAGTAAAACAGCGTTAACTATGTAGTTAAAAAATAGTAACTAATGTGGCTCTTCAAAACTGATCGGCGGGGATTTTATTCGTGGAAACTTATGTTAATAAATGATAGTCTTCAAGAATTTGAAGTACCCATTAACACATTTTAGTCTTTCGGTTCAATCAATAATTCTACTTATCTTTCATGCTGATTTGTCAAGCATTAAAATTGTCCAAGTTTATTCCACTTATGATCACTATGATAATAAACTTTTTACAATGTTCTAATAAATGACTGCAGTGCTTGTGGAGTTTCCATTGTTTAAAAATCTTTTTTTTTTGCAAAAGAAATATACTTTTAATAGTGACCTTCTAGGCTGGGCCGGAACATCAAATAGTGACCAGATTTTGAGACATATTCTGTAAGAATTCGAACAAAATCATCTTTTTCTCAACAATTGTGTTGACACTGGTTTTTTATCTAAAAACATTAGTTAATTCGATTTATAATAGATAACTACCATCATCATAAATTAATAAGACTGTATATACATGATAATAGTATGTGATCTAATGTATTATGATTTTGATACACGCATTAGACTCGAGAAAAGATAATTATATATCACTGCTCCAAACATATTCATTTTATATTCAAAAGGATTATATCTTTGTCTAGAAGAATTTCCGATAAATAACAAATGATATTTACAATTAATACTTGACTTTTATCATCAACTTATTTACCGATAGGTGGAAATATTAATAAGGCAAGTAGAGCAAAACCAAAATGGGTATTAATTGGACGTTCTTGTTCAACATAACGTTGTTCTTGCATAACATTTGCTCGATTATTATTATTATTATTATTGTTGTTTGTCGATAATGTTTGATCATATTCAAGCACTGCAAAATAAAACTAATAGGTTTTAAATATCTGATTAAAAAATCGTTATTGCAATCCTTGTAGGATTAAAATGTGAAACACGATGTAGCTCCAGATATTAATCACAGGGATATTGTTCTATTCTATCTATCTTGGAACACATTTCTTCATTATCCTTTTACTTAATGCTTCAGAAATGCAATAAGATAATAATTCATATATTATAACAGGACATTATTGATATATGGTCTTTCATCCAATATCAGCAATGTTTATCACAATTTATAATGGACTTTGGTTGGTGTCTATCAGTCTGTGAGTAGTGGAGAGAATGCAAATTTCTACTCTATATGCTTCAACACTCCTTTTAGGTCGTGTTTCACAAAAGATATGCGGACAACAAAAAAAAAATTTACAAAATTCTCTTGATCCAGTACGATATAATCGTTGTCGCCAAATACAGTTTAAAATAGGTGGTAACTTAGCTATCGTTGTCTCCCAGATATCAAATAAACTCCATCTATGTCGAATATTATTCTTTTTGATATTATCTTGATATTGAAATTGATTATGTTTAATATTTTCATCATCATCATCAGAACTAATAATTTTCATTGATTCATCATTTCCTATTTCACTAATACATGAATATAAAGATATTCCATTTTTATTTTCATATTCATCTGGATCAATAATATGTGCACTTTGAATATTTTTATTACTTATAGATAAATGATTTGTATTCATAGGTAATGGAGATGAATATGATTTTTCAAGAGGTTTACTAAAATCAATTGATGATGATGTTATTGAACTATATGATTGATGTTCAATTTCGATAATAGCTGCTGCTTCTTGTTGTTGATAATTTTTTGATATTAATTTTAAAGAATTTTCATTCCATTTAATAGGAGAATTTTGTTCTTTTAAATATGATTCAGATTTAATGAATATATTTGATGATAAGTTATTTTGACTATTGATTGATTTTAAAAGTAATTTTATTGATGAATCAATTGTTTCTGTTATTTGATATTTTGAAGTAGTAGTTAATGATATATCCGAATGATCTAATCGTCTTATTATGTTTTTTAAACATGATTGATGAACAAATTGAGAACTTAATGATGAATAGAGATAAGGTTTTACTGATATTCTAGCAAAATCATCTACTGATCGAGTTATCAATAATCGTTTACTAGCATGAAACATTGTTTGATATTGATTACATTCTTCAATTGTTTCTTTTAAAGTATTATTTAAATTAAAAAGATCGACTACAGTAGAATGTTTATCATTTTCATAGTTTTGTATTTCCAAATTGTTATACATCTTTTTCAATACATTCATAAATTCATTTTCAAGTTCTTCAATACGTGGTGATGATAAGTGAGTAATTAATGGTAATTTAATAATTGATCTATGTTTTTTTTTATGCCATATTAATTTTTTTATAGGAGAAAAACGAAATTTTTTCTTGATAGTTTTTACATCATTGATCATAATTGGTAAATCATGATTTGATAGTTTTCTTCGAGAATTGTGAGATA